ATTTAAGGACAGACCTTGGGAACGGAACTCATTCTTAAACTGGGGACTACCTGTATTGCCTGAGACAGTGATTAAGCAAAAAAGTCCTCTATTTCTCAATCTCATGGTTGGCCTGGAAGTGTAATGTTATTGTAAGGCACTTACAGTTTTCATCCCACTTTTTTCTTAGTGTGTATTGTGTCACATGCTACATATTGAGCCACAATCAGAACTATAGGATCAGAGTGCTGTAGGGAGAGACAGTTAAACTTTAATATTAGGGAACCAGTTAAAGTCACGTCATTTTGAGTACTGCCTTTTCTTTTTCTCTGAAGCTCCATGTAATAGAAAATGGGTGCATAAGACAAGCATATGGACAAATATGGCTTTGCAGCCATGCAGAATCTTTAAATCCTATATCAGACTGGCATGGGTAAATGGGCTGTTATGCACCAAACTAAAAATATTCTGCAATTTATTTAAATGCATTAATATATTTTAATATCATGCCCTTACACCATTGTACTTGTATTTGCTGAAGGCAGGAGAAGCTTCTCAAACAGAAATAGTTTCAGAAGAGAACAAGAGTTTGATCTGGACATTGTTGAAACAAGTACGCCCAGGAATGGATCTCTCCAAGGTGGTACTACCTACATTTATTTTGGAAACACGTTCTTTCTTGGACAAACTCTCTGATTACTACTATCATGCAGACTTCTTATCTGAGTGAGTTGCTTTTATTCATATGCAGTAAGAACTATCTTGATACATCATCTCAGTATTGTTATTTCAAAAGCATTTTCAAGAGAAACTGAGTGATCGAACAGTGACAGACCTGAATTACTTTTAGTTTTGAGTTTGTCAGATAAAACGATGCCTCATACCATAAATGGGCCTTAGGGCCACATGCAGTTCTTGGCCTAATTTCAAAAGTTGACTGTAAATGATGAATTCAGATACTCTAGTATGAGCTGTATGTCCCTTCCCTGGCAGCTTCTTGCTTGGGAAAAGAAAGGAGTGTACCAAAAATAAGTAAAAAGAAGAAAAAGATAACCATGTAAGAGCTTATGTACATTGAACACTTTCAGCTAAGCAGGTAGGAATAACTAAGGAATTTTATAACAATTCATATAACAGAGAAAAGCATGGAAATATCTAGAGAGGTTGAGCTATACTAGCACAGTTAGGAGTAATGTACAGCAGGGTCTTTTAAACTGTGTTCCATGGAACCTTCAGGTTTTGCAAGAATTTGATGGAATTCCATAGGAGACTAAGGGTCAGGGGAATCACTCCTACATAGTCATTTTTCTATCATTAGAGCTTTGCCTCTTGACTGGAAGTTCCAGAATGTTTTTAACTAACAGGTTCCACAACCTGAAAAAGTTTGACATCCCCTGCTCTACAGTATATATTCTTGTATGTCTGATTTTTCAAAGAAAACGTTGCTTCTGATATTTAAATAGAATGATTGGTGACCCCATCTCCTTTGACTTGTTTTTCTAAGTGAAGAACAGTCTCTCTCCTCCAACACATGCATAGGTTCTGAATCTGAAAAGTAACTCACAAATGATGCTCCTGTCTTTTCCCCTCATAGAGAAAAGAGATTTGCATTAGATATGCTTTTTTTTTTTTTGCTTCTATGCTGGCAGCATTGTAGAATACTTTAATAGTGTTGTATAATAGCTTTTAAATTAATTGGTGTTCACTTACCCGTTTTTATTTTTACCAATTTCTTTTTCCTTTTATTTTACCACATGTTTGTAGTACTGCGTATTGTTTGGTTTTAGAAATACTTCGGGTTGGATGCAGCAGTTCCTACCCAATGGACACATTAGTTCTTGTATCTGAAAAAAACGACAGGCAAAAAGTTGCTTCTTACTGTATTCATTGCCAAATGTTCTTGTAAAGCAGTTATTTAGGAACTACTTATCTACCCTTGAGCCTCTCAAATGGAACATATTCTACAAATGTCTTATAAAATGGATTCTGACAGTTCAGTCAGCTCTTGGTGTCAGTTCCTTGAGATTCTATTCTTAAGCCATCACAAACTGAAACAAACCAAAGAGTATGACTGCAAAAATAAAACTGGGTCAAGCTGACTAGATTTTAGCATTGGCTGTTGAGAATCAGGGAGATGACCTTGAAGAAGATAGGCAAGTACCATTATATAAGCAAAGAGGGCTGAAAGATTCCTTAAGTCCTAGGAAACAAGATAGTATTTGTAAGAGACTCAGGCAGGCTCATCCCTGATTTACTGGGATGTAACAGGAAGGGGAGGTAATCACAGTCAAGCTTGCACAGCTCTATTATTATAGCCTATTTCAAAAAAGTATAGTTCTAGTCTTTCTGTGGAGTTTCTTTCTGATCTGGTCTACCCTGAAGGGCTGTCACTGGCTTAATTGTGCAGAGATGAACTGAAAATCAAGATAAAAGAATAATTCACATACAAAAACATACGCCCTTACCACACTCAAGTATTTTCTCTAAAGTGGTTACAGCTACATCAGTTAGAAATAGTTACTTCAGTATCCGTCCAATTTGTACATTTTACTAGTCAGTTCTTTTGATTTTGGCTTCTCAAGCTGTTTGGCTTCCCAAACCTGTAACCGTATTTTAGACAGTCTGATAGATTGCAGTAATTCTTGAAAACTGCCCCCCCAGCAGTTACTTTTTTTTTTTTAGAGGGATTGAGGACACTATTTCCTTCACTTCTCAACTTGCATGGATTTCTTAATTGCAATTAGCTCATATCCACAAGGTGAGAAACACTATAGCAGCCCTCCTAGTCTTTGAGATTTTCAGATGATTTGTCATCTTTCCTGACCCTGGGATATTTCACAGAAGTAAACTGGTTAATTCAGTTTACACATGGCATGAAGTATTGTGCCCTGGTATAAGAAAGCAAGTTTAAAGTAAACAATATACTAGTGTAGGCTTCTGTGGCCAGTATCCATTGGGCAGTGTTGAGCTTCAGGGTTTAGTGACCATGGTCTAGACAGGAGCCCTATAAAGACAGGAACCCAGTCAGTCCCTGCTTAGTTGCTCACCTTGCCTCTGAAGATGCCAGCCACATTACCAGCAAAACATCAGGAAGTCTGTTGTCTAGACCACAGTCATTTTAAAATAAACCTTTTTACTGCTTCTCTTGAGCAGCATGCTTCTTTAGGTAATATTTCATAGTTATGTCTGCACAAAAATGTTTTTCTGGGTTCTTTGAAAAATCACTAGTGCAACCATGCAGCCTGTTCTCCAGCACAAGTGTTTCCTTTCTTTATGGAGGATGCTGATTTTGGAAGGAATTAAATACCTCTTCTAGCCCTTGAAGTGTGCACAGAGGAAAAGAATCTTCTTTTGAAGCAAGAAGTAAAAGCACAGGATTCTAGGATTTAGCTGCAGTACAAAATCTTTAGCATGACTGCACAAGGTGAATATTTGAAGAAGCCCAGTTACAGGTAAACAATCAGTAGGCATTCTTAACCTGATGGTGATTTATGATGTATACATTTCTTATCACTGTGTTTGTGAAGTCTTATGTGGCCTGTTACATTGACTTGAAAATTTTTTAATATACTTTGATTGTAAATCTGTTTAATCTTTTTCTAGAGCTGCCCTTGAAGAGAATGCTTACAATCGTATGAAACAAGTTGTGAAATGGTATTTGTCAGGATTCTACAAAAAACCAAAAGTAATACTTTGGTACTTTCTTTCCTAGCACTTTGCTTACTGCTTCAAATTTCTGTTGTAATGTATATGTAACAGTGCTGAAATAACAAGTTACATATTTGTATTTTTGTAACTCTGTACCCCTTGATTATGTTGAAGTACCAATTGCCATTTGATATCTCAATCAAATCCTCTTAAATCTAATGGTAAATCAGTGTTTTTTCCTACAGCTTTGGGAACCAATTCTCTATCCAGTTTGCAATTATTAAAAATACAAGGTTTGTGGGTCAGCATGATCCCACAAAATATTTTTAATTTTTTTAGATACTTTTATATCAGTAAAGTTTTAAATCAGGACCTGCCATTTTTAGGTTGAACAGAAATCAGGAACATTTATTTTTATGATAGACAAATACTTATTCCCCTTAATAATTACTGAACAATAACAAACTTTGAAAAAAAGGATAGATATCTCAGAACCATATGATGATGGTGATCATGTTGTTGACTGAACATTTTCTGTCAGCCAAGTTTTAGTTACAGACAGTTTGGATGATTGTTACAGTGAAATTTGTCATAAAATATACTTATGATATATGCATGTATGTATGTATGTATGTATGTATGTATGTATGTATGTATGTATGTATGTATGTATGTATGTATGTATGTATGTATGTATGTATGTATGTATGTATGTATGTATGTATGTATGTATGTATGTATGTATGTATGTATGTATGTATGTATGTATGTATGTATGTATGTATGTATGTATGTATGTATGTATGTATGTATGTATGTATGTATGTATGTATGTATGTATGTATGTATGTATGTATATCCCCCTCCCTGAGAAAAATAGGCAGAGAAAAAAAAATTACAGAGAAAAAATAATCCTATGCCATGCTTATCTTTCCCAGCTCGTCAGTTGAAGATTGCCAACTCCAGCTGAACTCAATCATGTAGATAACTTCCTCAAATAAATATGTGCATGAGACATACAGATAGGAACAAGACCCCCAAATGTATTGAATTAATAACTATTAATTAAAATTAATTGCCTTTTAAATGAAGTACAACATTGCTAGAATCAGTTGATCTCAAAGAAGATATACCAGTCATTTTCAATCTGATACCTGGAATCATACAAAGACACATATGTAGACATGCACAGGATCTCCTTTGCTACTTCCAAAAAAAAGAGCCTAAAAGAAAGAAAAGCAGGATGGAGATGGGGTGAGACTAAGGATGGCTATATTGAAGAGAAGAGAGGGGAGGGGAGGGGAGGGGAGAGGAGAGGAGAGGACAGGAGAGAGAAAACTGGATGGAAACAAAATGAGGGGAAAAAATAACAGGAATGGAAAGTCCTGTTTAGGTCTTACAAAAGAGTTAAATTAACCAAGCAAACAGCTAATCTTCAGAGGCATACAATCTTTGTGCCTCTTGCTCAATCCTTTGTTTTTAGCAGCTTCTTCTATTCATATTTGTAAAATAAGATGTTCCCATTCAGTTCACAAGTAATGGGGGGTGGGGGCTCCTATTGAGTAAATACAGTAATTGTAAGCATTTCATTACAGAATCTTCAAAATGTTTTTGCTTATTAAAGCTTGTTTTGCTTATTAAACATTTTTGGAATTGGAATGTATTTTCAATGTATTTTCAAATATTGTCTGTCTTCCCAGGGACTTAAAAAACCTTATAATCCTATACTTGGTGAGACTTTCCGTTGTTTGTGGATTCATCCAAAAACAAATAGCAAGACTTTTTATATTGCTGAACAGGTATTGTGAAAATATGATAAAAATCTTTATTTTGAAAAACTATAGCACCATTTTTCAACATTTATATTTGATTATAAGTCATTAAATCAGCAACAATACCAGAATAATTTTTAAAAGCTTTGTTCCTGCTCTATCCTACAACTATCAATTAGATTGGGATAATAATTATTTTAGGTATGCTGCTTTTTCGTGTTACAGGAATTATAAAAAAGGTAAAGAATTCACTTTGATTCCGATTATAATGAGCCAAGGAGACAACTGCCCCTGCATCTGGAGGACAGACTAGATCTTATGAGGAAAGGGGTGCCAGTTGGGGCATTTTAGGAGGTTTGAATAATTTCCCTTCTTATCACTTCTCCCTCACAAATCTGTTCCTTGCAAAAGTGGCTTCTTTTTGTTCTAGCTAGTTTTTTCTCCCGATCTTTCCTCTCATGGGACTGCTGTTTTCTTTGAAGCCTAAAGCTTCATAGATTTTCTTTTAAAAGTGTTTCATCTGTGGGAGTAAAATTGTCATCACAGCTGTTCTCTTGTTCTCTCTTTGTATGTATTTGCCTCAATGAAAGATACTGAGTTCCTTCATGCATGCACTGCTATAGTTTTATATCTCGAGCTTGCTAGAATCAATCATTCCAACTCTGTGCATTTCTCTCGGGACAAGCCTGGGAGATCAGAGCAAGACTCTGAGGTTCTAGCTCCTAATAACCTGGACTTTCTTGACTTCTGTCTGCCTGTTGACGGAAGATTTTTTTTTATGGCCCTTCAACTCAGTGTTGACCCCTGAGGACTGTCTCAACTATCTTTAAGATTTAAGTTATCCCTGCTTTGTGGCCACATTCTTCAGCCCAAAGTATTCTGGAGCCTTCTGTTGCTTGACCTCAGGCTGTTTACTCTTACTGTTGAGATCACTGCCTCCCTCTTGATCCAGAGGTACATGATACTTCCCTAAAACCTACTAACATTCCCATAGGGCCAAAGGGAAACCCTCTATCTCTTTGCAGATATTTTGATTCTTTTTTATATCAGCTTAATTAGATTCTTCCTCTCTTCAAGAGTACATACCTTTTCTATTCTTCACTCAAGGTTTACCACATCACTATTTTGGTGTTCTATTGTATGCTTTACAGTTCTGTAGTATTCCCACATCCATTGGTTAAAATGTTTATTGGCTTATGGAATTCATTCCCACCTACTTCCCCATTGATGCTATCCTGGAATGTCTTGGTAGTGCTGATCCAGCTGTCAGAAATCACTTTTGAACCCATAGCTATTTCTTCTCTATATCTTCTGACATAAAGATGACTTTTCTGGAGGCAGTCACTAAAGGCTACAGATCTTAGTGAACTTCATACACAGGGGTGAATTGGTGAAAAGACAAAATAGTTTAACATCTGGATGTGTCCAAGGATGTCTCTGCATTTCATATATCCCAGGACGTAGTTCTACTATTTTTTTCTCCCACCTGTCAGTCTCAGCAATAAATCACAGTTCTCCAGACACTTAATCTCCAGTTCAGACCTTGGCTTGACTTAGCAGAAGGTCCTCAGATACAATTTGGTTTGATTGATTGATTGATTGACTGACTGACTGACTGACTGATTGATCATGCCTTTTCACTGACAAGAATGAAGCCTTAAACGTAACAATTGACTGCCTACTACAGAGCAAAGAATTCAGTCATTATATATATGCTCTCCAGAGTTTAAACTCTCAGTTTCATCCTCCTTCCTTTCCAAATCAACTGATATTTGGCAGTTTACTTGGTAGCTTTGGTAGCTGATAAACACTTTTGTTAACGGTCCTCTCTAGCCTGCAATTCCCATCTTGCTAGTTTCAGCCCTTACAGCAGCTCCAGTTTTATTTCGGAAGCTATGTTGCATGGTTTGGATTTTATGTATAAACTGGCTTGCTTTGTGTCCAGAATACAATCATTTCAGCAATTTGGACAGCATTGTGGCCATCCTGACTCCTCTCAGTACTTTTCATATTGGAATGTGGATGCCATCCTTTTTGCTTATCATCTACCTAGCTTAGATCCTAGACCATGTTAAGTGACGTTATACTTGGCTATGGCTGACTTTACTCAATTGTTTCTGTTCAGAATATTCCTGTATATAACATTACTGACTGGATATGTGTAGGAGAGAAGAGACTTATTTTGGAAGAGTAGTACTCTGTTTTGCCATGGGATTGGTTGTCCACGTAGGCAACTGTTATTCTGCTATAAGTGTTTTACCCAGACACTACACAGAATAACAGAAAGTTGCCTACCAATCACTGTGATTCAGCAATCACCTATGCAATCTCATGACCCCGCCTGCCTTTGTTTCAACAGATAGTTCTACTATAATGACCATAGGGCAGATGGTAATGAAGAATGAGCAGATTTTGGTGTGCTGGTGATGTTTACATAGTTGAGGGTGGAACTACAGCCATCTCAGCTAATCTAGAAAAGATTTTGAAATATCTGGCATAAGATCAGTGTAAATGTGTGGATGGCTACTAGAATAGATTTAACAATTCCTGAATGCACTTGGGGTTTTTCCCATATCATCTGCTGGCACTGCTGTTTGAAACATAGAGTGATCTGTAACATGCAGAGATAGTTGAAGAGTTGATCCTGTTGCTTTTGATGCATTCTTCTCACACCCATAGCCAAATTAGCTTCTTGATTACTTAGGCAGCTGCAAATTATGAAGAGACAGGAGGACCGCTGAACATAAGTGTTGCATGTAACATTTCAAATCAGTTGAACAATATGTTCAATAAGTTAATACTTATACAAACCTGAGCATGCTGTTTGGTTCTGACTAAATATTATTTTATGAGTCTTTTTGTGATTTTGCATTTAGCTGGCATTAGGACAAGTGACTGGAGGTGACCTGTGTGGATTTCTATGTAACTATTTTAGTGTGTACATGAAAGACTGGGAAAAGCACATCAAACTACAGTTGTGAAGAATGAGAGCAAGGCTTAATACAGATGAGATACAAGATAATCTCCAAGGCTAGCCAGAGGGTGTCAACACCAATAACATGGGATATCAACAAAACACTGTCTGAGAATGTTGTAAGAAATAGTGACAGAACTATCAGCAGTTTCCTAACAAAAAGATTGTAAGGTCAAGATGACTGCTTGAAAGCAACAACAGGGAACAGTGAAAGCTAAAACAATAGAAAAATTATCCAACATCTATTTGAACAAACCTCCGGTTTCTGGATATTGTAGGAGGAGAACCATGCATATCTAGGGTGGTAAAAATCAGAGGAGTCTGATAGCACCTTTTCCAACTAATAGATTCTATTAAAAGGCATAAGCTTTTGGGAGCTGCAACTCACTTCATCAAATGCATTTTAACAGGATCATGGATACGCAAAAGGAACCAGTCAGAAGCAGGAGAGCCAGCATGGGAATAGCATGAATATTGTGCACAAGAAGAAAAGATTCCTGAAGATAACAAGCCCATAAAAGCTCTTGCCTCACAGAGGAAGAGCAGGAAGCTATTACTATCTTAGATATATATCAGGGCTGATCTGTACAGTCAATACTTCTTCAGCATCTTTCAGACAGATTCTGTCTTCATGTACTGTGATACGAGAACTCATTTGGAAACTGCTTTTAGGCATCAGTCTGTCTACTTTCAGAAAATCTGCAGATACTTCTCTTTAGCCAGGCCTTTAAGGATTTTTATTTCCTTGATTCTCTATTCTGTAATTTGTACTTTCTGTCTTGTTTTAAATTGTAAACTATGTTGAACATTCAGTTTGAACTGAAAGGGCTTATTTACTCAAGTGCATGATTAAATACAGATATTAGTTGGTGTCCTAATTCAAAGCCATAGCAAGCAGTTAAGTAATGCCTGAAATGCAGAGCACAATTAAGTGTGTGAGTCTCTCAGCTGCAGTCCAGGAAAGTATTTTAAACAAAGTAGCTTTCATGAACTGCAACCAAAATTTTAGCATCTGAAAGTTTCTAATAGCTCCTTTTGCTTAATAATATATTGGAATCATGTGTTTGTTGATCTAATTGAATATTTGTGGAATTACAATAGTATTTATGTCCTTTGCTTGCTTTTACTGATTTTCACAGGAGGTCATATACACTATTGCTTTTAACAGGTGTCTCATCATCCTCCAATATCCGCCTTCTATGTAAGCAATCGAAAAGATGGATTTTGCTTAAGTGCTAATATTTTGGCCAAATCCAAGTTTTACGGTAAGCTCTTAAAAGCTTTCATTGTGTTTAGTATCTACAAAAATAGGTTCTTTATGAAGGATTTTTGTTGAATACAGTTGATTTTTTTCACTACTAATATAGGTGGTATTTGTTTTTAATATTAGTCTGTGGTGTACATAGTTTGTGAGAGGACAGTTCTTCAGTCTGGCAAGTCTTCTTTTCACTTTTTAGGATGTAGTTTTTTTGAGTCTTCCATTTTTATATTTCAGGAAATTCACTATCTGCCATTCTGGATGGTGAAGGGCGACTGATGTTCCTAAATAGAGGAGAAGACTATGTAATGACCATGCCATATGCACACTGTAAAGGTATTTCATTTTATCAAGGGTCCTTAAATACCAATTTGACTTAACAATCAGGCCTCTGTCCATATTCAGGACCAATTTCCTACTTCTTGATTAAATGTCAATGACTTAGAAAAGGCAAAGTTTACTTGTAGAAGAAGTTTGGTAAAATAAGAAGTAGAAGAAACATCTTTGATTATTGGGACTGCAGCAAATACTAGAAATCTCTACATCTTTTCTGAGCATCCCACAGTTACTAGATGGCTGGAAGGAACGTTTGGGTTTTAACTCATTTAAAAGGAAGGAAAGATTCCACTTTTTCATAGCATGTAATATGAGGACTTTCTTTTCATGTTGTTTCTTAAATAAGTATTGCAACAGTAGGAAATGCCCATTCCATTTCTTAGACTCATAACTCATGCAGTAATTTGCTATTTTAAGTCTGCTGTGAATGTCTCATTATGGAGGAATAGCCATTCACCTCTGACAAGAAAATGAATGGGTTTGTTGATGCATAAATTTTCTTTAAAAATAAAGCATTATACTTAGAAAGAAATATACAATGATTTGTTTCATTTAAATGAGCAGTATATCACATATGAACATAAGAATAGCCCTCCTGGCTTAGCCCAAAGACCTATTATATTCAATAATTTGTGTTGCACAGTGGCTTATCAGGTTCATATAGAAAGTTGACAACCAGGCTGTGAAAGTAATATGACAGTTGGAAAGCCAAGTAAGAAGCTAGGATTTCTACCATGTATACTCCTCTGCCTTCAGCTAAGAGATTACCCGAGCAACTTGTCTTTTCCTTTGGACTTGAAGAAACTATGCTAAAAACTATTCTGCTGGCTTTTGCCCAGTTCTGATTCCTCTGCCAAGCTGCAGTTGATAAGACTTATTCCATCAACCAAGTTTAGAGCTCACATGAGAGGTGGAGTGCTTGTCATTTGGCTACAAAGAAAGCTAACTATACCAGAGATGCAGCCATTGAAAGGCCACAGCTATCTGGAGTCAGCCTCTGAACCTGGCCTCCAAAGGGAGATGGCTTTTGGTATAAGAAAACAAACTTAAGGTCATCCAGCCTTAGTTTTAAGAAGCTGCACAGGGTTGGCTGAAATTATTTGGTTAACTAATTGAGATAGATTAGTTGCTAATAGTGAATGGTGGGCTAGGGAAGATGAGCGTATTCTCAACAGGGCATCTATTCCATTACTGGTGATGGGAGACATAGGAAGGTGAAGGGAGGCACTGACAATTTAGCAGGTCATTACAGAGGAAAGGAATTTAGAAACGTAATGGCTGTCTCTCCTTCCAGCTGCCTTGTAAGCTTGTGAACCCTGGTAAATAGTCTCAGCTCCCAACAGAATCTTGTTCCTTTTCAGTGCCAGATCAGCAAAGAATAAAGTTGGAAACATACATGACAATCATGTATAAGAGAGCTGACCTGGCATGTATAACATGCCTGGTTGGATGAGACACTAGGCTCAGGATCGGCCCAGCTTCTCCTGGCTGTGTATTCAGCTGTGGAGTAGGCCAGAGGAAGATGACAGGGAGAGGTATGGCTTTAATCCATAAAATGGCATTGCCTTTGCCTGAATTCTGATCACAGACCTGGCGTATATTGAGGGTATGTATCTTGGACTAGGAATAATGGATAGACTAAGGATTCTCTTTGTCTAGTGAGTACTTCACAGTCTTGCAGGATCTCATGGCCATGACAAATCTGGGCCTATCCAAATTGAGTCAACATATGTTGCTGGTCACCCAGCTGATTTGGTCTTTTGCTCTGGCCGGGATAGTGTTTCATGGGTGAACGCCCCTGTGGCAATTCCATTGTCATGGACTGACCACTACCTAATTAAGGTCAGATTTATAGCTACACCTTAGCATCTTAGGAGTAGAGGACCAATTCATTCAACAAGAAGAACTTATTTATTGTTTATTTGGGCAGTGATTTGTAAGCTGAAAGTTGTTGAATCTTGTGGGTTTCCGAGGAGATTTATAGGGGTTTAGTGTTGATTCTACAGGTGATTTTATCAAAATCCTAATTTATTTCTAAAAAGTTGTATGGGCTATAGAGGCAGAAAAATTGCTAGAGTGCTCTTAGCAGAAGACTTGGCTTCACTCTGATAAGGTACAGAGTAGAGCTATACTGAGTCAGTGCGTACAGATAAAAAGCCTTTGTTTTCTCACTCACTGCATCTGCAATCATTCAATTAGAACTCATCAGAGCTGTGAGAAAATTAATATCTGTCCCTTAGTCAGAATTAGAGCAGAATTATTAAACCACTGTGGTGCTTTCAATGAGTTCTTTGCTGATAAAATCTGTGAAGTTTGAGGCGACTTGGATACAGTTTTAAATTCAGAGTCAGAAATTGAGTGCCCTCATATGTGGTTGAAAAGGATTGGTTTGAGTTGATAACTCCTGAGGATGTGGATAGAATGCTTGGGCCAATGTGATCTACCATCTATCCTTTTGACCCCTGAGGGAGCTTCTGGGAGGTACCTTGGTAAATATTATTGATGCCTTTTTCACAGAGGGGAAATTTCTTCCTCTTTAAAGAGGGACTTATAAGACTACTTCTTAAGTAGTCCTCCCTTGAGCCATAGGCAATTAGAGGCCCAGCAGCATCCACAGGGGGGCAAAGAAAATCAATGATGAAAGCATATTTACCATCATGACACAAGCTCCAGCTATTTTCTACATGTGTCACAGTGTCTCATGCATGCCCAAAAGAGGTGGAGTTTGCACTGCAATACCACAACACTGTTTTCATCATTCTGATAAAAGCTGCAAAAGCTTGCAGACGTTCTGATAAGCCAGATTCTATCGTACCATAGCTGGACAAAATAATCAAGAGGATTATGGCTTCTCAGCTTCATGTAGCCCTAATAATAAGTCTATTAGCTAAACCAAATTCAGACTGGCTTTAGGAAAAGCTAAAGGTTTGAGATATCATAGTCAGAATTGTAGATGGTCTTTGTTACCATTCACCAAGGTATCCTTCTGGACCACCGCATCTTTGAGAATTGGGAACATTGCTCTGCAGTGGCTCCACTCCTGTGTGCCAGGAAGGTTCCAAAGAGTCACATATGTGAGATGGGCAGCTATATAAATTTAATAAATAAATAAATAAATGAAATTGTGTTGCTCAGAAAAGATCTTTTATCTCAGTTGCAAATAATCACGTCTTTTGTTTCCACACAGTCTTCATATATTCCTATAAGCCAAATATTCTCTCTTCTCAGTGACATCCACAAGCTGAGTGAACTGTTTTTGCATTGTATCCTAGTCGATGTTATTTCTCTGATAGGCAAGTTAAGTGACTGTTTAACTTAATGTGAACCAGAACACAATCCAGCTTTTATAAAACTGACAATTGAGTTTTTTATTCATTTAGAAGGTACTTTTACCTTTCTGTCAACTTACTTTATATGCAGAAGTGTTAACTTTGAATTCTGTCTTTTTGAACTGTGAATAGTCCTTTAGTCAATATATAAATGTATTGCAGAAAAGGAATTTCCTACTTCAAGGTTTTGAAGATTTTACTAATGGACTGTACCTGGAAAATATTTCATTATTTGAAGTTATCAGAATATGAGAACATAGCACTTTTGTGAATGTCTCATAAATATTTTACTGTCAAATGTTTACTGCCATCATAATAAGGATTTCATCCTTATTTCTTTTGTAGGATGTTCTGATTTTACCACCATTTCAGATATTTTAAAAGAGAAGGAATTAGTTGGTGCTATGTTGGCAGACATTTTCTTATTACTAGTTACTTGCAATTAGTTATATCTTGATCCATAGTAATTAAAGGTTTAGGACTTTGGTATATGATAATAATTTGTAGAAAAAGGAAATATCCAATAGAAGAACACTTTTTAACAAAATTTTAAAAAACAACTGATTTTCTTATAGGGATCCTATATGGCACAATGACTTTGGAGCTTGGGGGAACTGTTAGCATCACATGTGAGAAAACTGGATACAGTGCAGTCCTTGAATTCAAGCTAAAGGTTAGTAGAATCTATTCAGATGCATTAGAGTACTTAAAATTGAAAAATGAACAAATGCTTATTTTTGTTAACTCTTCAAAAGTTTTGTTCTTTAAACTGTTACTGCTTTGTGATACTAAATAATATGAATAATATCAAGTTAGGAAATATTCAGTAGAACCTAAGATCTCACTGATTAAAACAATACTAGATAGATAGATACAGTGGGGTAAAAAAGTATTTAGTCAGCCACCAATTGTGCAAGTTCTCCCACTTAAAAAGATGAGAGAGGCCTGTAATTTTCATCATAGGTATACCTCAACTATGAGAGACAAAATGGGGGAAAAAATCCAGAAAATCACATTGTCTGATTTTTAAAGATGCATTAGAGTACTTAAAATTGATGCATTAGAGTACTTAAAATTGATGCATTAGAGTACTTAAAATTGATGCATTAGAGTACTTAAAATTGATGCATTAGAGTACTTAAAATTGATGCATTAGAGTACTTAAAATTGATGCATTAGAGTACTTAAAATTGATGCATTAGAGTACTTAAAATTGATGCATTAGAGTACTTAAAATTGATGCATTAGAGTACTTAAAATTGATGCATTAGAGTACTTAAAATTGATGCATTAGAGTACTTAAAATTGATGCATTAGAGTACTTAAAATTGATGCATTAGAGTACTTAAAATTGATGCATTAGAGTACTTAAAATTGATGCATTAGAGTACTTAAAATTGATGCATTAGAGTACTTAAAATTGATGCATTAGAGTACTTAAAATTGATGCATTAGAGTACTTAAAATTGGTATACCTATGATGAAAATTACAGGCCTCTCTCATCTTTTTAAGTGGGAGAACTTGCACAATTGGTGGCTGACTAAATACTTTTTTCCCCCACTGTAAATAGATAGACAGACAGACAGACAGACAGATCGATCACTGTTAGTTCAGATAACAATATTATTTTTACATACTACTCTGTAGCTATGTAGCTCATTATGTTCTGAACTAACTCCATGTGGCAAATGAAATATGTTATTTGCTGTTACAATTCTCTTTAAAATGTTGGAAGTACTCAGGATTGTACAAAACCTCCCTTTCCAGAAATTGGAACATCTGGACATTCTGATCACACTGATCTGATTCAGAGAACTGATTTCCATAAAACTGCCAGACCATTCCCAGAATAGATGGTTTGCATATCCCTAGGAACATTTAATAGATTAATATATATAAATAAATAAAGCGGAGTTAGCTGCAATATTATTTATGCTTGTTTGAAATTACGCTCTGTTTAACTAAATGAGACTTGCTTGTTTGAAATTATGCTCTGTTTAACTAAGGTAGGGATTTTACAGATCTTGACAGAAATTCTCAGGCTAGGATCTAACCTAACAGAAGAGATCCTTCTATTTGCCAAGGGAAACAGGATCCCTTGAGGAAGAGGCAACTGTTCTTATTTTCACCAATTTCTCCTTTCTTAGCCTGCTCTGGGTTGTCCCACAAACTTGTGGAGTACCTGTGAGGGGAGGAGGAATTCGGTAAATGATGTTCTCTCCACTTTAATAACTGTTGGTTTCAGTGCAATACTTTATAAACTTACAGTACTTATGATGGCATGCTTGTTCTTTTTATAAAAGAAACATTAGGAAATTATTAATTTTACATTTCTTAAATATTATATAGCTTTTAAAAACATCTAACTATTTTTTTTCATAGCCATTTTTGGGGAACAATGACAATGTTAATCAAATAATGGGGAAAATTAAACTGGGAAAAGAAGTTCTAGCCACTCTGGAAGGCCATTGGGTGAGTAGCAGAGGTTTGGTTTGGTTGGTTTTTTAAATGTTGGATATATTTTAATGTATATTTTATATTTGAATTGTTTGATATGTACTGCTTTTAATTATGACATATGCATCAGCCTTTTCATTATTTTACTATACGTTTTTCAGAAATCTGACCAAAATAGCAATAATCTCCAAAAGCAAACGTTGCACATTTACTGTAGGTCTGCCATCTGAATAAATAAACAGAAATTCATGCTTCTTAGCTTTCTTGTCCTTGCCTTACAATAAGGCTAATATAATATAATGTAAATGAATATAGAACTAATAAGAGTACAGATTGACATTGGACACACAATAAATGTTACAATATGAACCCAGGAGACAGTAGAAAACTTGTCATGAATTGCCATTGGTAGGCTTGTGTTCTTGAAACATAATTCTACCCTTCAAACCAGCTATACTGGTTATTATTGTAGGACCAAAGCAATACAAGGAAGAAATAATTATTGACATTAATCTCTAATTTTTTTTTAAAAAGTTGTATGCCTGGATTCTTGCTAAACCAAATTTCAGTTGGAAAGGAAAATAGAGTGAAAATCTAGAAGTACAGTATGTGAGAGTGAGCAGATGAGATAAGAAGGATGTTGTCCAGTAAGATTCTGAAAAAATGTGTTTGTAATATGAGAATGGAACAAGAAGAGCATGGGTAAAGAGCTAATAATTTTTTAATTCCACTCATCCTGAAGTGATATTTACTGTAATATTAATAATAATCAGTGACATTCACTGATTATTATTAATATTAATTGCTAGGCAGTAGCTGACTAATGGACTTTTATTTCCAAGGAACAGATTTTGTTAATGTTTTAATTCAAATAATGCTTCAGTCCAGAATTATTACTGCAGAATGTAATAATTCCAGTCTGAATCCATACAGTTTTCTTTGCAATAAGACAAAAATGGTTAACCATTTGCTTTTTTAAAAACTTCTACAGCCCTGATATTACTTAGTGTTCTCCCATCCAATTACTGATCAGATCTCATTCTCCTTAACTTTCTGAGATCAACCAGGATCAGCAGGATACTGCCATATTTGATAGAATACAGTTAATTGAAATATAATTTTTGCAAACCTTAGACTACATGTTTTATTGTAGCCCAATAAATTTGAAGAGATGTGTTCAGATTCACATGCAAGTAAAACCAAATTCCACTGAAAAAAAATCATTAAAATACAAAATTTAACTGGAAATGAATAAATTCATTCTTTTAATTCAAATGATTGGTGCTAAAATAAGGAAATATACTATCAAGTATGACTTTCAGCTGTCCCTGACTATTTCTGCCAAACTAGTGCAAGCCTTTTAATTGCAAAAAGTGACTTTCTGAAGGAACTCTTGTTTTTCCTGACTCTGAAAAATGCTTTGCCTACTCATGTAATCTAATATGTTAACATTATAGGACAGTGAAGTTATAATTAGGGATAAAAAGACAGATGCTTCAGAGACATTCTGGAACACAACACCTGAGATCAGGCAACACAGATTAAGAAGATACACAGTGAAGTTTGAGGAACAAGGTGACTTTGAGTCAGAGAAGTACGTTTGTTGTAAAACTTTTATTATTTATTTTGCAAAGATTCCTAAGCTTTTTGTGGGCACATTTAGAATTTTAGAGCACTTTATGGGCACTCTCATAAAAATGACTGCTATGATGGATGTGTTCAAAGACGTTCCATTTTATTCCCTCTAGCTTCCCAAGATACTCTTTACTTGTTAAAGGGTAAAGCAGAAAGGATAAGATTAGAAACCACAGCCTAGCTTATCCTCTGGAGAGAGAATCCTTAATTGAAGTTTAATCAGTTTTATAGTATTCTTCATTGGTTATTTTTAGTCTGAGTTTTTTTGTATTTATTTGGATGCATAGTTTTATTTATATTTTGGTATATCTGCCCTGGGGTCATATTGATGAGTACTAACTGAAAGAAAATAAAGAATATAGGAAAGTAGAATACTAATGGAGAAATATTATAATTGTATTCGATCCTTATTTTAATGATACAACAAAAGAACATTTGCAGCAAAGCTGTCTTCACCACTATCTGACCTTTTTAGTGCTGTCATTCTTACTGGTTAGACTTTGGCAACATGTGACTCGAGCTATAAATAATAAAGACCAAGCAGAAGCAACTCAGGAAAAATATATTCTGGAGGAAGCTCAGAGGAAAGCTGCCAAAGAAAGGAAGGCACGAGATGAAGTCTGGGTCTGCAGACTGTTTGAGCCAGATCCACTTACAGGAGAATGGAATTACAGATATGCCGAGTAAGTCATGGAGTCTTGAGAAGGAAGACTCCCCCCCCTTTTACTGCAGATACTAACACGTGTGTGGGTGTGTGCATACATATTTGATTACACAAACACATAGCCACTTGGCTCATACATATCTTCTGTCAAATAATTGTTTGCCTTAATGTTTGTTCTACCTGTGTCATGAATCAAAAAGCCAAGCTGTAGCTACATATTGTGATTAGAATGCTCCTTCTTAACACAGTATAAACCAAGTGTGTATGTGGGTGTGGTTTAGAAGTAGCTGTTACCCCTTCAGGAAAATGTTACCAGTGCAGGAGTGGAACTTTCCCATCATTTCCACAGTTCCAATGGAAGAGAATAACTGTAGCTCAGGATTGAAGTGTGGACTCCTTGGCGTTCTCTGAGCTTGGCTGTTTGCTTGCAGACGTTTCATTACCCAACTAGGTACCATCACAGTGCACTGGTAATGTTACCTAGCTGGATAATGAAATGTCTGCAAACAAACAATCAAGCTCAGAGAGCACCAAGGACTCCACATTTCCACAGTTTTTGCTTTAATTTAACAACATTTGCTTTAATGTAACCGACTGAAGCGAAAATTAGAAAAAGAAAGGAGGAGGAGGAGAAGGAGGGAAACTCAGCCTTTCCTCACTACGTACAAGATGTCATATATTCCAGTCATGCCATTGTAATTGTGAAACAAAGCACCATCTACCACAAAAGTAGCAAGCAAACTAGGATTGCAACTGAAGAGGAGGGAGACGGACAATGCATGATCAGCCATGGTTCATTGTGTTGTCTGAAATGTATTTGCAGACTAAGCTCCTAAGCAATCCTTGATACACTGTGAACATGTTTGCATAGTAAATGTTTTTCCAGCTACTGAAGTATCTTCAGATTAATATTATCATTTTTACTTGGAGGGGGAAGGCTCCAAAATAGGGGGAGAGAGAAGGAATGTGATACACTATTCACTTGAATGCCATTTGGCTTTGGGATCTTCTTTCTCCTTGACTCATAGCTGCAGTATTTGTTGCAATGGATTAGATCCAGGGTTGTTCTCCTACAGTTGGAGGGGTTTGAATTCATTTTATTACTTAGTTATTACTAAGGCCTTTATATCTCTCAGTTAAAATTGACTCTGATCATCTTAAATGTCAGCAGATTTCTGATCAACAAAGCAGTTCCAATAGTGGAATGAGAGAGAAGACAATATTTGCCAACTCTCCCTCGCCATGCAGTTCCACCAATCTGTCCCAAAAGGTTGGGAATTGCCTCTGGGTGCAAGAGAACTAAGTACTGTGGGCTGGAAGGATTACCAAAAATTACTTCATGAGAGATAGAGTCCTGAGCGGGGTTAGGGCTACCTATTTTTGTTTCTTATGTAGAAATAATCCAACTTTTATTTATTTGTTTCTTTAAACACCTTATAATCCATCTCACTACCGCAACTGTGAACTAAAATCAAAAAACAACAAACCAAACCAAAATAATTTAATAAAGAAAGTACAATAACAATCAGTATATCACATGCCTAAGGTGTGAGTCACAGTGATTAGGGTTTCGAGATCTAGAAACAGGCACACAAGTTGAATCTCTGCAAAGAGCCTCCTAGCCAAAGCTCCTGCCTGCTTGAGCAGGAGCTTCCTAAGAGGACTCCCAAATTGCACACTGTCTGGGGAAGCACAATCTCATTCAGAGTTAAAGATGGAAAGCCTCCCGATCTGGAAAGCCTCAAAACCCACAGCCACTCTGTCTTGCCAAGGTGATCGAGGTTCTTCCCCATTCAGACCTCCATAGCATCCAGACACTGAGGAAGAACCTTGATCACTTGGTTGACCTGGGACAGAGATGTAAAATTGGGTATTATCTTCAGTATACTGATGATACCTCACCCATTCGGATGGGTGACCTCACTGAGTGGCTTCATATAGAGGTTATATAAAAGCAGGGAGAGAGTAGAGCCCTGAGGCACTGTGCAGGTCTAGAGCTAGATTTCTCTCCTCCTACCAACATCACTGGAACTAGCCCTGACGAAAGGAGAACTATTGTAGCACCGTGTCTCTCACTCCTAATCCCCTCAGCTAGTCCAGAAGATTATCATGAAAGCTGCTGAGAGAACAAGAAAGGCCACATGGATGCACTAGTCTCATTCTGCTCCCACCAAAGATCATTGACACTTGTGATCAATGATAATCAGTGCCATCTTGGTGCCATAACCAGGTCTGAAACCCAACTGAAAAGAGTACTCTGGAGCTGCAAGCCAACAACCTCCCCTCAGAAGGTTAGAAACTAGATGACAATTGTCCCATTATATCAGATCCAGTGACACCTTCTTGAGGAAAGGGCAGACCACCACCTCTTTCAAAGGAAGAGGATCCACCCCCTCCCTAAAAAAAAACAAACATAAAAACACCAGGTCTAGAAAAATAACTATTTGCCACTGCTATTGCTATAAGATAATCCTTAAGAAAAGCTCTTACCCATACTCACTTGGGTTTACTCTTCATTTTTCTCCCATGGTGCTTTAAGTTTCTCTTCTGCCATTTAACCACCTGGAGTTCCTTCCAGGATCCATGCACATAGAAAAATTGCACAGGTGTGATCTCATCCAAGGCCATTGTTGCCCTCTTATTCCAAGCAATGACTAAAGCCTTGGTCAAACCATGCACCAAGGGCCCAGGAACAACTCCAAACTGTCTCTAAAACCCACTTGAGATTATCAGGCACTTGGGGAAAACCAGTCAATTAGGTTCTACTTCCCTGCAGTGGGGTGCAGTCACAGAGTACTCTAAGGCCAACACAGAGTAATTTGTCTGTAACTGCTGGTAACATCCCCCAATTGCAGATCATGTCACCACTGCCCAGATCTAATGTGTGACCCCCACTGTGAATTGGGCCCAAGATAACTTGAGTCAGGTCCATGTTCCCCATGGCAGCCATGAATTCCTGAGCTGCTTCCCACTCCACATGCAAGGAAGGAAGATTGATGTCCCCCAGTACCATAAGCCTGGAGAACTCCACTGCCAGCCTGGCCACAGGTTTAAGCAGCCTAGGCAGGGAGGTTTTTTTGCAGCAAGGAGGCTTGTACACCAGCAGCAATCTCTTCTGATCCCTACAGCCCAGCTTCACAAACAGATCTCACAACTGGTTATCTGCAGAGGAGCACCCTGGAAGACATCAGGGCTTCTCAGATAACAATAGCTACATCCCTGCCCCTGTTGTGGGTTTGTGGCTTGTACTACACATGGAACCCAGCTGAGCACATCTCTGAGAAGACGCATGCATACATATGCATCCAGCCACATTTCAGTAATGCACACAAGGTTGGCCCTCTCAGTCGCAAGTCATGGATGAGGGACGTTTTATTACAGGCTGACCACGCATTAAGTAGTAACCGCCAGAAACCTGTATAAGATACTAATGCTGTACATTTTTAAATACTGCTGTAAATACTGCTTTGTTGAAAGTAATGGACATGTTAATCGCCTTGAATTACTTTATCTAAAGTATATACACATCTTCTGTGTATAGTACAAGACCATGGGATCCACTGAATGACATGGTACAGTTTGAAAAAGATGGCGTCATTCAAACGAAAGTCAGACATCGGACACCAATGGTATGTTCTTGACCTTATTTTTATTACTACAGTATTACATTGAATACAAGGAACTGCAGATTTGTTTAGGGGCAGGACAGTTCTCTTGAAGACACTCATTTTCTGTCTTCTCTGATAAGTGAACTGTACTGCTAAGAGGAGTTCAACCTCTGGCCTGCTTGCGGCCTCCAGATTGTTTGTTGCAATCCTCCAGAGTGTTTGCAGTGCAGTTTTAGGCTATTTTAAAGCTTATGCTTTTTGTTTCGCTTACAGGCTTGTTCTTCTTGGCTCTGTGCTTTTTATTTGGAAAACGTATATGCCACCCACACCTTTAGCAACTGCACTGGGGAATGACAAAGTACTAATTCATTAACATCTAACATGATTTAGGTATACCGATTTTTTCTAGCTGTGTCCATTATTTTTTTCTGTATAGCTTTTTTCACTTTGAATAAGACTCTGAGCTCTGTCAAAAAGTTGTCCACCTTGGATATAACAGGATCAAGGAAACTATATGCCTTTAGTTGTATTCTAAAGCATTATCAGCTTTGTCAAAAATCCTATCGGAATAATTCCTTTCATACTTAGCCTTTAAAATAAGAAGTGGTTCAGCATATCCTTTATAGTGCTGATAACTTTGGGTGACCTGGGTCTGCTGTTCATGCTTAAGTTAGGAGACAAGGCATATAGTGGACAGTGTATCAGTGCAAAGAAAGTGGGGGAATGCCATGAAATGGGCAGGGCCATATCACATGAATAGGTGGAAACAGGGTTTTCTTCCTCTCCCCCCCCCCATTTGAGAGGATATTGCCGGGGAAGAGGGGGTCCACCTTTTAAAAAACTGTCAATCCTATTCTAGGGCTCACACAGGACTTTTAGTATGTTTTCCAATTAAAAATGGAGGAAAGTTTTGTTGCTGATTTTCAGTACTGAAATTAAGCAGGGCCACAAATAATTCTGCTTTGGGATTTGTTTTAACTATGAAAGGTAGGTTAATAATTCATAAATGAGTAATTTAAAAAAAAAAACAAACTGGGAGCCATGCCCATCCTTGCTGTACAGGATTGGATCCAGATTTGCTTTTCTGGAAGCAGAAGATTAGCAAATTCTTTTTGCTAAAAGAAGTGGCCAGAGTGTTGATTGTCCCAACTGCTTTTCTTCTCAGTGTCCCCTATCATCCTCCAATGTAGCAAGTGAAGCGGGGCTGCAAGAAGAAAGAGTGATCAAAGAAGACTTCTGCCACCCATTTCTTGCACATCAGCAGAACGCTGCTAAGCATAACTGTCTCTTTGTTTCTGAGCAATAAAGTTAATCGAAATGTGTATTACAGGTTACTGTTGCAAAAATAAAACGGTCTGCTAAGTCTAAGAAAGAGGAATGTGGCTTCTCCTCACCAGAGCCTGATAATCAGGACTCATCAGGAAGTGAAGGTAAATGCTACATTGGTTTACCATGCCCTTCTTTCTAAAATTATGATGAATAACATACAGAAATGCCTAAATTTCAGTTATCTGTAAACTAAAGACACTACCTTTTTTTGTTGGTTTGTTTTTGGTGCCTTTGAGTCATTGTTGACTACTGGCAACTGCCTGGACTAGTCCCTGTCATTTTCTTGGTAAGATTTTTGGAGGTGGTTTGTCTTGCCTTCTTCCTAAGGCTGAGAGAGCGCGTGACTGGGCCAACGCTACCCAGCTGGCTTCGTGGCTAAGGCAGGACTAGAACTCAAGTCTCCCAGTTTCTAGCCTGGTACCTTAACCACTACACCAAACTGGCTCTCCATGTTAAATTTACTTAGTATTTAATAATTTTCTGTCCTAGCTTGTAAAATCTTTTCTTTTAATGAGAAAAATTGAGTTTTAGTTCATATTTGGTAAACTAAAATAATTTAGTTTGTATCTGATTTACACATTTTACCTGTTTGACTATTTTTGAATTACTCCTGCAGCACAACTCAAACATAACACAAGAATCCGAAAGAAAGCGGTAGATCTTGCTGAACTGCAAAGTGCCATTGAATCTATAAGGACAACACAGGAAGATATTCGGAGGTAAGTTTATAGTGTTTTTTTTAAATCACAAGTTCCTAATTTCAATATGACAGGACTGTTGATGTTGCTCCACGCCACACTCTCTAAATTCCCAGGGTGCTCCCTGCTACCTCAGCATAATTTCCATTTGGGGCTTTTGGGCGCATATCCAAAAAAAGCACTAGGCTACAATCATCCAACATTTTATATTGAAAGCATACGTCTCTGGGTTCTACATAGAGTCCAGAGATGTTATTGAAAACAGAGATTGTGCTTGAGACTGTTGCTTTGCTGCATGGTAGCCTCCTTTTCTTTAAATAAAATAAAATAAAATCAGGGCAGAGAATCTTGTGGGCATTAAGGGGGAAATGTAACCAGAAACATAAAAGCCTAAAGATGCAAATTTAGAGACCTGGGATTTGGAGCAAACTTGGACCCTTTAAATGCCTAGATAACTAAATAAACACTGATGACAGATAATGCTTCAGTCATGTTCTCCTAACTAGTATAAGACCTGACTAAAGTACACATTTCCGTTATGACATTTTTTTAAGTTACTGCTTAAATGTACATCAGCAGTCATTTCTCTTGTTCCTTGGCCTTTTCTAAAGCCAACTTGAACATCCAGCATTTTTCCTTCCCTGTAGGGTTCTAATCTGTGTTGGATGATCCTAAGCATTATTTTGCTAGCATGTGAAATTAGAGAGATTGTGCAATAGTTTGCTCATTCTGTTACCTCTGTTTGATATTTCTTTGAACTTTTCCAGTCTGCTGACTACTGTTTCATTTCCACATTTACTGACAGCCACATTACATTCCATAACTTTCTAACTGACATCATTGTTTCCAGAGATACTAGAGTTTTAGTGTACTTAGACCTTAGCACTGTCCATCCAACCAAAGGTG